ACTTATATTTCAATAAATTATTTCTAAAGAGAAAGTTTTCAATAATAAAATATTGAGTTTAAATTTTCATATTTGGGAAATATTCATTAGAATTATGTGTTGATTATACTTGTAGTTTTTCTTATATTGTTAATATTTACATCATAAAAAAGTTGTTATACTTCATTCAAAAACTAACTCGAGAAAGGATACTAGATTATTAGATCAATTAAGTTGGATTTTTTATTAACCCTGTGTCGTTTAATTCTTTTAACAAATCATTGAAATTGATGCGGTCGAGTTTGGATAAGTATGATCAGGTTAATCAAATTTTATCAAATAAATATTTTTTTTAGTTAAACCAGCTTAAAATTTGATTCAAATCAAATTATAAATAACAAGTTTCTTACATCAGAAGGTATTTGATATTGTGGTGGGAACTGTGTTTTATTCCAATCACACTTTTTAATCGTTTAATAAGTATTTAAAACACAGGTTTTGAAGATGAATTCCTTTAAAAATTAAGTTTGTACCACTAATTTTGTGAAGCAAAAAATTACTGCTTTTCAATTAACTTTTGCCCGCCTGCTACAAGGGGAAGAAAATCTCAAGGGGCCACCCAATTTCTTGTTTGCTTCTTTTCTTCTCAGCTCAAGTAGAAATATTTCGTTGGCAATCATCATCTATACACTACCAAGTGGATTCGCTTGGCACTGTTTATGTGAATAGTGTCAAGTGAATTAATTCATGAGTTAGTATTCTCTTTATGTGAATAGTATTTTTTTAAAACTAGTGCAGTGAATTGATTTAATTTGTACTATTTACGTCACGTGAACGTGAATAATAATTTTTTTTTTGTTTTTTAAAATAGTTTAAGATGAATTAAATTTACTTGTATTATAATCTTAATTTTATTCCTGATAATATTTTTACCTAATTTTATTACATGCTTGAAAAATCATAGAAACTGTAATTTTTATCAGATGAATTTCATATGTAATGAAATTATAGATAATTTGATGAAACAATAAAAATTATTTTATATAAAATATGATTTATTTCATGATATAATAGCAATAGTTAAATATACAATATTTAAATTAAAAACTATAAATATTAATATATATTTTTTAAATTATTTTATAACCTCAATTTCAAAAGCATTTATAACTAAACACATAAAACTACTTTTTGTTCAACCTCAATTTCAACCACAGTTTTAACCAAGCATATATTTTTCCAAACCAACATTAACTAAAAATATTTTTTATAAAATAATTTTTTTCAAATCACAACTATAATAGCTACCACAATACCAAACATTACTTCAGATTTAAAACTACTATAGTAGATATCTTGAGCATATATAATCTGAATTGTTTTTTTTTTTAATTGGATTTTTAGAAAACATAAAATAAGCATTTTTATCTCATGAATGGCATGGGCCTTTAAATGATTTCTTCTCATGATCAATCCATCCAAATAAAAACTTGACGCCCGAGGCCTTTGTTGGTTTGGTTGTGGTTCGGAATCGAACGACACCGCATTCAAGGATAGTGGCTAGTTATGACTCAGTTCTTGTAGTTTTTTACCACTACTTAGTTAGAAATAATTAAAGAGTTCCTTGACTTCTATTGACCATCCTTAAGTTTGTAGTCTTTTTTTTTTAATACCTCTTTTTTTGGTAGTGGGATTTTTCAGTTTCACCCGATTCTCTCCTCTTTCAAGGAAAAAAAAAACAAGTTAAAAATAAAAATAATAAAATGACTAAATTAGAATAAATTTCAAATTACACAAATTAAATAAATAATTTAAAAAAATATAAAGATTAATTAATTATTCTAGTTAAACTAAAAAGTCAAAATTATAATTTACTGTTTAAATTATCATAAAAAAATAAAATGACCTCTTCAATCGAGTTTTATTTGATCAATGTCATGTCTAATTTAATTAGAAAAAAAGAAGGATCTAAATTAAGCTTCAAGTATTGAATTTTCCGAGTCAACTCACGGCGGCGAAGTTGAGCTGACACCACTATAACACTGTTCAAATCAAATTCATCCACCGTCAAACCACAAGCAAAGAGTCATCTAAATTTTGGGATCTTTTTATTCCTTCAGCACCGTTATCTGGAAAGCTGCCTCTATGTTTAGGATTAAATAAACATAGATTAATGATTAAAGCAGTTAATTATCAACAATATTATACTTATAATTACCATCAGCGTGAAGCTCCCTTAATGATCTAAGAATATTAATAATTAATACGTCTACATGGAATTTTATAAGCTTAGGATCATCGAGTTGTCTCCACAATCTTAATAAGATGACAACCCAGTTATCTCTCTAATGACCCAATTATTTGTAATTGTGACTTAGTTTAATAATAATATTATCCCTTTTCCCCTCTTTCCATGGCTTTGTCTTGAATTTTTTAGGTTAGGTGAGCTTCCATTGATAATGACAGTCGATGCACATCAAGACCCACCACCAGAACTGGTTTTCTTCTTAATTTTCCGATTGCTACTGTTTTGTGGTTGAAAAACACGCCAGTCAAATCCAAAACTAACCTATTAATTATTAGGCCGATTTAGTAGAAGTGCTCGGGTTTATTAGAAGGTATTTGAAAATATAGTTATAGTTATTTTGAAAGGTATTTTTTATTTGAAAAAATATTAAAATAATATATATTTTATTTTTTAAAAAATTATTTTTTATAGTAACACATTAAAATAATATAAAAATACTAAAAGATATTAATTTAAAATAAAAAAATATAAAATAAACATAACCTAAATACACAGCTCTAGCAATCATGGAGTGCAAGTCATGGCAAGGAAGCATTGAACGATGGGATAGGAAGTGCTAGTAAATATAATAACGAAAGGGCTATATTTACATTATTTAAAGCTTGTATTTTTGCTTTTGGCCATCTTTGAATTATATATATTCCCTGTACTCCAAACCCAACAAATTCCATTAATATTAGGGACGAAATATTTCTTTATATATATAAATAAAATAAAATATAATTTCCATGGATATATTAATTTAATTCAAATGTAGATGACTTTATTTAGGATCCGATCACTAAAGAATTTAGTTTTGTATTCAAAATAAATTAATTTAATTCAAAATGTAATGTTGAAAGGCACCCTTTTATGGTTGAATAAAGCTCGTAGGGCAGAGGCTATAGGGTAGTCTTTTTAAAAGTCCACTTTCACATAAAATCTGATCCAAGGGATATTAAATAAATATGATCGAAATGCATGGTCGGTCCAGCAATCAAGATTTCGTGAGAATCCGAATCATGTTGTTGACGCTACTCCCTTTCACATTTATTTTTATTATCACTGTTTACTCAGATCCATTCCCACAGCGCTACAGCTGGCTTAGAATTTCTCTTTACAACAAATTTTTTTTGAAATTAATATAATTAAGTTTCGACTTGGTCCAGTGATCTTGAATTTGATTAGGTTAATTTTTAAATTAATTTAAAATAAAATTCAATTTAAATTAAATTTCAAATGAACAGGTTGTCAAGTTTATTTCTAGATTGAGTTTAATACATTAAGTTTTAAATAAACCGATTATCAAATTCATTTTCAGATCAAATTTAATAAAAATAAATTAATATTTAGGATAAACAAAATTCAATCCCAATCTATATAGTAAATCACAAACTGATTCTCAATTTTCAACATTATGTAAAATTTGGTTCAAAATTCATTATGAGAACTTATTAATTTATTTCTTAATTTAGCATTAAGATTCAATTATTTAATTATGCTAACTAAAATTTTAGATTCAACTCCTTCCTTATCTGATAAAAATTAAATTCTCAATAACACAATAAATTAAATGAGATATAAAAAATAGCAACCTTCACATTTTCACTCACCATTTAACGCCATAATTATAAAATTTAGATTAGTTTAGCGATCAATTTAGAACTTGATTGATTTGAAATCTTAATCAATTCATACTTAACAAAATAACAAAATATAAAGAAAAGAATTAATTTAAATGAGCCGGTTAAAAACCCGTTAATGTTTTTCAAAAAGATGTGGTTTTAAATTTTTTTAATTTTTTTTAAAAATAACCTAAATCAAGCTTATTATATAAAAATTATTTCCCATTAACATATTTATTTTCTAACCTATTACTTGAAACTAATCTAGACTTGATCTTGAACCAAGTTTAGTAACCATGAAAAAAACCATAATTACTAATTCAAATAAAAAAACAACTATTTTACACAATGAGCCTTAGCATCTCAAATAAAAAGAGCCTTAGCATCTCAAATAAAAAGGTTTCTTCTAGAATCTGATTCTGAATGGTTCTTCTGAAATTGATGGTTTTGTTTTTAAGTGAAAGTTTACAATATAATATCCATTAAAAAATATGGTTAATATGGTAATTTTTAAAAAATGATGTTTTGATATTGAAGTCCTTCTCAATCATTTTTTAGAGATTTTTTTTACATGATATATAAAATGTCAGTTTTAATTAATAAAGTTTTTGATAATTTTCCAACTTTGATATTTTTTTTAATATTATAAGATATATTTTTATTAAAAAATAATATAAATCATATCTTGATACCTTACATAACAGTTTAAATTATTAGGTTCAAATGGTCCTTTGACATGATATCAGAGTCTTGATAACTAAGCGATCATAAGTTCGAATCTTACCATCTCTATTTATTTAATAAAAATTAAGTATAATATAATGTGGGTCTATACAAGTTTCAAACTCAAAAAACTTTAAACTATTAAATTGAGATTTAATATAATTCTTTGATAATTTTATTTAAATTATAATTATTAGATTTAATTTGAGAACAAACCTTATTTAAGATATAAATAATGAATTTAATGTCTCAATCTATACTATAATATTGTTTTGAATTTTTTTTCTTTTAAATTTATCCAACCACTTCGCCAAACCCTAGAGCTAGTAGAGTTTTTTTTTTTTTTTTGGTGAATAAATCCGCGATGAATTTGTATTTATCCCTTGTTTTATTTTGCGGTAATGATGCAACTAACACGAAATTAACACAAAGAAGCCATAGCTTCCTTCCATTGGAGAATCATTAAATAAGACAGGTCCTAGTGCCATAAGCCATGGTCATACTCTCTCTCTCTCTCTCTCTCTCTGCATGGAAATGTATCTGATATAACCACAACAACGGTTAATTTGCCTCCTCTCCCACTTCAACGCCAAGCCTTTCGATAGATCCATCAAAGCCTCCTTCTCTACGTCCAAGGTCTTTGCTGCAGACATGCCCAGATCCTATTTAGCCAGGTATTTGCTGTTTTAACCAAAACCTCTGCTTCTTCATCAGCACTAGCATGCCCTTAAACATTACTAGCCATGCCATTTTATCCCCTCGTTTTCTAATTATCTTCTGCTGAAAACTACAGAGGGCTCAAGTTTATTGCTGATGATGTGTTGAGGAAGCAAGGAAGAAATTATTCAACTGGTGGTTGCAGAAGGTAAGTTCATCATCTTCCCTAGCTTATTAATAGATCACTTATGACTCTAAAGTAGCTGCAAGTGATGTTTCTTGATATATATATATATGTATTCATGGCGCCTGATCATCTATTGCTGATCATCACCTTAATTAGTTAGTCATTTTTTTGAAAATTGCTTTTGAATTTCTAGTGGGAAAATTGCCGTCATTGAATATATGAATTTCATTAGCAAGATCCATTTATAATATTCTACTGATGGGATTTCATTTTTTTATATATAAAAAAACGTATTTAATGGATGTGTATGAATCTTATAATAAAAAAGAATTTCTTGAAATCATTTCGAAAAACTCTTGTAGTAAAATTGATTAATTCCTCGATCTTATTCCTCAGTTAACAGGTTTGCTCTTCAATCACTGTTTATTAACCTAGTTCATATATTAATTATTATTATTATTTTGTTAACGCTGCCAGTCTAGGTATCCCGGTGCGGTGAGGACGTGAGAAATATTTTAAAAATTATGAATAATTTATTCACGAGTGTACGTTGACTATTTTTAAGATATATATAGAAGTGTGCAGATTAATTCCAATGTGTGCTAGCTACAATTTCACTCAATTTATCCGTGGTTGTCATGCTTTTTCCGAGCATTAATTAATTTAAAATTTAAATAAAAAAATTACTTGAATTAATTTGTATGTTTATAAAAATAATTTAAAAATAATTTTGTTTCTGTTGATTTATTATGAACAAAAATAAATTTAAAAACTAGAATAAAATAAAATTACATCGAATTTAATAATTATAATCATCGCTATGTCAGTTTTAATTAATAAAGTTTTTGATAATTTTCCAACTTTGATTTTTTTTTTAATATTATAAGATATATTTTTATTAAAAAATAATATAAATCATATCTTGATACCTTACATAACAGTTTAAATTATTAGGTTCAAATGGTCCTTTGACATGATATCAGAGTCTTGATAACTAAACGATCATAAATTCGAATTTCATCATCTCTATTTATTTAATAAAAATTAAGTATAATATAATGTGGGTCTATACAAGTTTCAAACTCAAAAAACTTTAAACTATTAAATTGAGATTTAATATAATTCTTTGATAATTTTATTTAAATTATAATTATTAGATTTAATTTGAGAACAAACCTTATTTAAGATATAAATAATGAATTTAATGTCTCAATCTATACTATAATATTGTTTTGAATTTTTTTTCTTTTAAATTTATCCAACCACTTCGCCAAACCCTAGAGCTAGTAGAGTTTTTTTTTTTTTTTTGGTGAATAAATCCGCGATGAATTTGTATTTATCCCTTGTTTTATTTTGCGGTAATGATGCAACTAACACGAAATTAACACAAAGAAGCCATAGCTTCCTTCCATTGGAGAATCATTAAATAAGACAGGTCCTAGTGCCATAAGCCATGGTCATACTCTCTCTCTCTCTCTCTCTGCATGGAAATGTATCTGATATAACCACAACAACGGTTAATTTGCCTCCTCTCCCACTTCAACGCCAAGCCTTTCGATAGATCCATCAAAGCCTCCTTCTCTACGTCCAAGGTCTTTGCTGCAGACATGCCCAGATCCTATTTAGCCAGGTATTTGCTGTTTTAACCAAAACCTCTGCTTCTTCATCAGCACTAGCATGCCCTTAAACATTACTAGCCATGCCATTTTATCCCCTCGTTTTCTAATTATCTTCTGCTGAAAACTACAGAGGGCTCAAGTTTATTGCTGATGATGTGTTGAGGAAGCAAGGAAGAAATTATTCAACTGGTGGTTGCAGAAGGTAAGTTCATCATCTTCCCTAGCTTATTAATAGATCACTTATGACTCTAAAGTAGCTGCAAGTGATGTTTCTTGATATATATATATATGTATTCATGGCGCCTGATCATCTATTGCTGATCATCACCTTAATTAGTTAGTCATTTTTTTGAAAATTGCTTTTGAATTTCTAGTGGGAAAATTGCCGTCATTGAATATATGAATTTCATTAGCAAGATCCATTTATAATATTCTACTGATGGGATTTCATTTTTTTATATATAAAAAAACGTATTTAATGGATGTGTATGAATCTTATAATAAAAAAGAATTTCTTGAAATCATTTCGAAAAACTCTTGTAGTAAAATTGATTAATTCCTCGATCTTATTCCTCAGTTAACAGGTTTGCTCTTCAATCACTGTTTATTAACCTAGTTCATATATTAATTATTATTATTATTTTGTTAACGCTGCCAGTCTAGGTATCCCGGTGCGGTGAGGACGTGAGAAATATTTTAAAAATTATGAATAATTTATTCACGAGTGTACGTTGACTATTTTTAAGATATATATAGAAGTGTGCAGATTAATTCCAATGTGTGCTAGCTACAATTTCACTCAATTTATCCGTGGTTGTCATGCTTTTTCCGAGCATTAATTAATTTAAAATTTAAATAAAAAAATTACTTGAATTAATTTGTATGTTTATAAAAATAATTTTGTTTCTGTTGATTTATTATGAACAAAAATAAATTTAAAAACTAGAATAAAATAAAATTACATCGAATTTAATAATTATAATCATCGCACCCATTTAACATGACAACACAAAAGACATTTGGGCGCTTGAGGAAATATATGCATATAAACACAAATTAATTTAATAATTCAAGTGGAAGGGGTCTTGGGGGTTTCTCCATGTTGTAAGCATAAAGAGACAATCCCTTTACGGACCGGTAAGCATTATGAAATTGTTTGTTTTTATATTTAAAAAGAATTAAAAAAAACAATTTTATTTGCTTTAAATTAATTTTTTTATATCATTTTTATTTACTAATATTATAAATAAATTTTAAAAAATAAAAAAAATATTATTTTAATATATTTCTAAACAAAAAATACTTAAAATCTTTATTACTGTTTTAAACAAAACCAGAGTTGACTAGCAGCCTCCACCACGCCGGCAAGCTTTGGCAACATGATGTTTGCACAGAAAATTGCCATAAATGGTGCATCATTCCATGTTCTCATTCCGCTGATCTAGCTAGCCCACGACTTTTACAGCTCTTATGGCCAAAATGTCTGCCTAATCTTGTTGACAAATCCTTTCAAGAATACTGGTTGGCAAATTAGATGCAAGCTTGTATGATGGACATTTTTCTGCGCAAATATATATATATATATATAAAAACAAACCAGTTCATCCATGTAAATCAACCCGAAAATTTATCGATTCAAGACTTAACATGAATTGGGTATATTATTGGATTGGAATGATAATCAACCTGGATAAATTTAACTTTAACGCAATCAAATTCAATCCAAGTCTAGTTTAAACCCGGTAGAATAATTTAGATTTAATTGCATTGATTCACCTGCTTGTAAATTCACCAAACAAGCTCGCGATATAAGCCTTAAATCGCACATCATTGTATGTCAATATCAGAGCAATATTCAGTACAAAACACAAATTTGTATTAGCATATTGTTTATTGAGCTTTGCGCGCGCCCATTTTGTCTCCGAGCAGGCTAGAAGGCAAGGTGGCTTTAATAACAGGAGGTGCGAGTGGCATTGGTAAGACCACAGCCCACGAATTCATCAAGCATGGAGCACAAGTCATAATCGCTGACATGGATTCACAAATTGGTCCACAAGCTGCCAAAGAGCTGGGTCCTGCAGCCCACTTTGTCCAGTGCGACGTCACAGCGGAAGCTCAGGTGGAAAAGGCGGTGATGATTGCCATGGCAGACTACGGCAAACTTGACATCATGTACAACAACGCGGGGGTAGCAGGGCCATCTTTTCCACCGAGCATTGCAGACCTTGATCTAAATGAATTCGACAAGGTCATGCAAGTCAATGTCAGAGGCACAGTGGCGGGGATAAAGCACGCCGCACGAGCGATGATACCGGCAGGCTCAGGGTGTATTCTCTGCACGTGTAGTATCAGTGGACTCATCGGCGGGGCTGGCTCGCATTCCTACTCAGCGTCAAAATCTACAATCCCTGGGGTTGTCAAGTCTGTGGCCAGCGAGCTATGCAGGAATGGCATTAGGATCAACTGCATTTCACCGGGTCCGATTCCGACCCCACTCTCCTTGGCTCAGATAGGCCTGATTTATCCACGCGCCACCCAAGAACAGTTGGTTGAGATCGTGAATGGGCTAGGGCAGCTGGAGGGGGCTAAGTGTGAAGAAGCAGATGTGGCCGAAGCTGCTCTGTATTTGGCATCAGATGAAGCAAAGTACGTAACTGGGCATAACCTTGTTGTGGATGGAGGGTTCACCTGCTTTAAAAATCTTCCATTCCCTTCTCCTCATGAGATTCTGTAACTGATATCTTCCATTTTCACACCTTTTGGCTTGATCATCAATCAATTTGAGCTCTTCTTCTTCTTTCCTGGGAACCAGGTTTCAACTGTTAGGTCACATTAAACTTAAGTTATAGGTACAAGACTACATGAAAACCCATAGAGGCCATGATATAGTATAAATTTATGACCTCTTAAAAATCATTCATCCTAGAAGCCCAAACCATTATCATGAGATTCCAAGACATCGTTATATATTACTCGCTTACAAGTGCTGAATTTCGTTTTCTCGGCATTTTCTTAATGATACACAGAGATCCATAGAATCAGAAAATATTGGTAGTATTTGGTATTGTATCGTTATAGGGGTTAGTTTTTCAAAGTATTATTTATTTGAAAATATATTATTTTTTAAAATTGTTTGTTAATATCAATATATTTAAATAATTTAAAAATACAGAAAAAAATATTTTTTATTTTTTTAAAAAAAAAAACAGTTCAATCTCTATAAAAACAAATATTTAGAGACATGTGAGGGAAACTCAGGATTTTAAAAACTACCAAAAAAAGAAGATTTTTTTTATATAAATTATACCTACTTATCTTTAAATCATTAAACATACCAAATTGATTTAAGAATTTGCTTTCTTAGATTATTAAAAATTTATATCTTATCAGTTTATTTCTGTTGAAGTTTTTCATCGGCGTCATTTTATATATATATATATATATATATAGAAAAGTTTATCTCTGTTGAAGTTTTTCATCGGCATCGTTATATATATATATATATTAAATAATATAAGAAATCATGATATATTAATTATAACTAAAAGATATTAATATTTTATCATGAATTGCACAATATAGTCTATAGTGAAAAGGTTGATGCCTTTAAGTTTTTTTATTTTTGTTTTTAATTAATTATTTAATTTAATTTAGTTTGTTAATATTAAATTTTTTATTTAATTATCAAAATTTTATGAAATGAAATATTGAAATATCATTCGTTTTATGAGAAATTCGTTTTGCAAGATTATCAAAGATTTATATTTTATCAGTTAGAAAAGTCTATATGTATATATAGATATATATAAAAGAAATCATGATATATTAACTATAACAAAAAGATATCAATATTTTATCGGAGACTGTATAATGCAGTCCATAGTAAAAAGTTTGATGCCTTTAGGTTTTTTTTAGTTTTTGCTTTTTTAATTAATTTTTTTATTTAATTTAGTTTGTTAATATTAAATTTTTTATTTGGTTATCAAACTTTAATGACATGAAATATTAAGATATCATAAGAAATTTGTTTTGCAATATTATCAGACATCTATATCTTTTCAGTTAGAAAAGTTTATTTTTGTTAGAACCCCCCTCCACATACACACATATATTAAATAATATAAGAAATCATGATATATTACTATAATTGTAATTAAAAGACATTAATATTTTACTATAGATTGTATAATGGAGTCCATGGTGAAAATACTGATACCTTTTAGTTTTTTAATTATTTTTTTATTTAATTTAATTTATTCATATTATTTTTTTATTTAATTATCAAACTTTCATAACACGAAATATTAAAATATCATTCGTACTATGAGAAATTTGTCTTGCAAGATTATCAAATATCTATATCTTATCAATTAGAATAATTTATTTTTGTTGGAAGTTTTCCACAACTTCATTATATATTACTCTAGTTTTTCTTTCTATAGGTTTTTCTCCTTCGATTTTTCTTTTTAATTGTTTTTTTAAAAGTTTGTCATTAATATTAATTTTTTATTTAGTTATCACAATTTCATGACATGAATTTCAAGTTTGACAAGTTAACCTGATTTGGTCGATTAACGTAATTGATTCAGTTTTTTTTCTTTTTTTAATTAGTTTTTTATTTCAATTTTATATTTTAATATTATAATTACAACTAAAAGATATCAATCTTTTACTGTGGATTGCATTATGCAAATCCATGATGAAAAGCGGGTGCCTTTTAGTTATGGTTTTTTTTCTTTTTAATTAATTTTTTTTGTTTAATTTAATTTGTTAATATTAATTTTTTTATTTAGTTATCACAATCTTATGATACAGATCTTATGTTTGACTGATTAACCTAATTTGGCAGGTTAAATCAATTAATTAAGTTTTTTTAATTAGTTTTTTCTTCTAATTTCATATTGTAATATCGATTTAATTGAAAAATCAATTTTATGATTTGTTTTGTTTAATTTTCATTAAATTATTGTAATCTTATAAGGAGATTTTATTGAACCCTTTCTCACAAAGCACTATTTACTAGAATAATGCTTTTCTTTATTTTTTTCTTTTCAATTAATTTTTTTGTTCAATATTTTTTTTATTTAGGTGTCATAATTTCATGATATAACCTTACTGTCAGACCCACATCTAAGATTTCTGGGTTTAGTATTACTGTTCAGCCTAAAAATTTTGAACTTGGTGTTGCAACCAGACCCATTTAAATTTGGGTAATGCAAGTTTAATGTTATTATTATTATCAATATTAAAAATATTATTATTTGTATTATAATGAATATTGCTAATATAATAATTAATAAATTTGAAAAAATAGTATTAGTTATAGTTTTTTTTTTTTGCTTTTTAATTAATCTTTTTTATCTAATTTGTTAATATTAATTTTTTTATTTAGTTATCACATTTTCATGACATAGATTATAGATTTAATGGATTAAACTAGTTAATTAAGATTTTTTCAAGTAATTCTTTTCTTCTAATTTTACTATTTAATATAAAATTAATTAAAAATTAAATTCACTATTTAATATAAAATTGATTAAGAATTAAACTTTATGATTTATTTTATTTATTTTTCATTAAATTATTATAATCTCACGAGAGAATTTTACTGCACCCCTCCTCGCAAAGCACACTATTCATTAGAATAGTGCTTTGCTTTGTTTTTTTCTTTAATTATTTGTTTTGTTTAATTTTATTTTGTAATGTTTTTTCTTTTATCTAGTTATTATTTTTTTATAATACAACCTTGCAATTAAATCTATATTTAAAATTTTTGGATCTAATATTATAGTTATATTCACTTAAATTTAGATCATGCAAGCTTAATATCATTATTAATATTATAAATATTATTCTTGAGTCAAGTATTGTAACTTGACCTAAAGTTATTAGGTATAATTTTGAAAAAAAATTAATATTAATAAATTTTAATTTTTTTATATTTTTTATGTAAAAAAAAAACCTCAGCAGAGCACGGGTACTGGTACTAACTATTATATACAACCAAACATTATATTATAAATTTAATAAAGTCCAAGCATAACCTATTGGTTATTCGAAGAGCTTTTTCTTGTCTGCTAGAGGAATTGTCGGCCTTGGTAGCCTTGACCGACATCAAGGTCCACGTGATAAATATTTTATTCAACCCCTTAGACTTTGAAAAGCAACCAGGACGCTCTAAACAAACAGGATCTTTCTCTACCGTTGATTTATCCTACAGGATCTAACGTGAGGAATTTATTTACACGGTCTACAATCTCCGCCATCGGATTCAGCTGAAACCAGGGGAGGGTTCTAAAATTAATAGAGTAAATTACTCTTTCAGTCCTTCTGTTTTTGACTCGGTTACAACTCAGTTCTTCTTACTTGAAAACACGTAACCCAATCCCCTAGACTCACTCTTGATTATTTTTTTTATCTTTTATTTTTGAAATCTCAATTTGACAATTTAAATTGAAAAGATTATTATCCACCTGGTCTCTTCACGCATGCATAACCTAACCTTGTTTAGAATTATAGTAATATTTGTGGTTTAAAATATGGGAAAGAAAGAAGGAAAGGCGCCGCCGTGCTGGTTTTCGTTTAAATTTTTCGAATCGCATTTTGCTTCCTCTGGCGTCGCCTTCGTGCTGGTTTTCGTTTTCGATTTGTCTTTTTCTGCCTCTGGCGTTCCTGCGCAGCTCGAAAGCTTTCTACCTTTCGCTTTCATTTCTTCTCTAGATCTTTCTAGAGCAATCCATCCATCGGCTTTCTCATTCATTCCTAGCATTGCTACTGCGTTTCTCTCTCGAAGGTACTTGTTTCTCTGCTCGTATTGCTATCGATCTTGTCGTCCTTTTGATCATCAATCTGTTCTGTTAGATTTTCCCCCGAAATGATCGATTGACTCGGTAAATAATTCGTTCTTTTTGCTTGGTAGATAGATACCGTTGCTCCACAGGAAAATTCTCTTATTTGTCGACTCGAAACTGCAACGCCAACACACTATTATGGCAAACGCATTGCAATTTTTGGCGTCTGTACAAGCTGCCTCCCCTGTTTTATCCAAGAGGATGCATGGCCTATCTTTACGGCACAGGCCGCCGCCGCCGCTTAATTATAATTTAGTGGCTACAAGTTTGGTACTGTCAAAAAGAAGTCGTAGAGCCTTGAAAGTGAGCTGTGAGGCAGCCAGTGTTGATCTACTTGAAACGAACAAAATCGATAATGAAGCCGAGAAGAAAATAACATGCGTAATGAAGTTCGGTGGTTCTTCGGTGGCGTCTGCCGAGAGAATGAGAGAAGTGGCAGAACTTATACTTAGCTTTCCAAATGAGAGGCCTGCCATTGTTCTTTCTGCCATGGGAAAGACCACTAACAAACTTTTGCTGGTATGCCTGCCTGCCTGTACTTTGATTTTCTGATGTTTTTATTTATTTTTCGCGGGGAAAAAAGTTTTAATATGGTCAACTTAATTATAGGCTGGAGAGAAGGCTGTTAGTTGCGGTGTTACTAATGTAGATAGTATTGAAGAGCTGAGTTTCATAAAGGAATTGCATAACCGGTGAGGATTTTGATTTTTGCTTCTTTTGTACTTTTATTATTGTTCCATGAACCATAAAATTCAATTGATATTATTCTATCATATCAGGACTGTGAAGGAACTGGAAGTAGACGAATCGGTTATTGCAAGTGAGTATCTGTTGGCGCTCATTTGTGGTTAATGCTTGAAACTTGGTTTGCAGCCGAAAAGTATCATGAAGTTCTTCTACTTTTTAGATAGATAGAATTATCGCTGTAATCTATAAACTATTATAGAGG